TTATTTTATGTCTCCGTCTTTATGACAAACGTTCTGGAAAATATTAGCGTTTCGTGTTCGTTTTGACTTCGTGTGGACGGGGCCTAATTCTCCTCCTGTTCAGTCACTCTTTGCTGGTTTGTCGTCATTACCTTGTCCCCTTCTTGTTGTGAGTATTCCTGGTTTTCAGCATTTTTGGATTTTTGTGGATTTATGCTTTTGTTGAGCTTCTGGTTCATTAAACCTTCAAGTAACAACCTTAAGCTTTTGTGTCTGCATTTGGGTCCTGTCAAACCACCCCCACTGTGACACCTTCAAGCTATACCCTCTAAGGGAAGAGGGGCTTTTTAACCTAATGTGATTCTAAGAAATTTGCATACAGCCCTTACCACATCTTGATCTAACAGTATCAGTAGAAATGGAAGTGGTCTACAGTATCTTATGATCTCAACATTACGAAATGAACAGACATGTTATGTTGCATCACTAAGCCCCCTTCTTTTATATTCTCTATCGGTGCAAAGTAGAGAACATCTTTAAGATATAAACACATCCTGTTGTAAGCAAATACTCTTACAACAATTGTCGTTATGTTTGTGTTTCAGGTCTGGACTTCAATTGTGTTGTATCATTTTCTAAAGTTCCTGTCATAATATTTTCTTTCTTTTAGGTTCTGCTTCTTATATTTTTCTGCTTTTAACATTTAGAATTATTTCTCTACAATTAATTTAGTCATAGTCTGTCTTCCACTGTCTCTGTGTGCTTCCTCTATCTTATCTTCTAACTTACTGACCTTCTTCAAGGTCATTCTCCCCTTGTTCATCATTAGTAGTCGTTATTTATACTGGATTCTTCGACTAAAGCTCTGTGTTCCTCCCTTACACCTTCCTGTTACTCTGCATGTTCTTCATGACCTGCTTTTCCTGCATTCTTCTGTTTATTTAGCCTCCATATTAGACTCTTTAACAAACCAATCAGAACAGAAATGTGTAAAATGATTTTGCTCACCTTTGGATTTCTTGCTTTTTAAATATTTTGTAGCATTTATTTTATCAAGCTGTCAAAGAAGCTTCATTGTAAGAATAAAAAAACCTCAATATTTGTCAAAGAATGTGGATGTGGTTGTGGCCCCAAATGCAGAGTAGAAGGAGGCAGAGGTGAGTTTTTTGCTGATTTAATGAAGAAGCAAAAAAGGAGAAGCTAAATCCAAGAACAAAATGCAGAAAACCAAAAATTAGGACATGCCAGGGGAAAACACACATGATGACCAAAATAACTACGAGAAACCAGAAATGAGAAACTGCAGAAGAGAAATATAAATGAGAGACTGAACAAAGACTGGGATAATCAGCTGACAAGGAGCAGGTGTGAATGGAAGCATCTCAAATTGACTGATTGATTTATTTATTAATTAATTGACTTTATTGATCTCACAGTGAAAACAATTTACTTGTTGCTCTCTACAGTTAGAGAAGAAGAATGTTCCACAGGAAGAAAGAGGTGCAGGGGTTATATAAAGTATATACAGTGTGTCCAGAAATGACAGCTTAAAAAAAAAAATAATTATATATATATATATAAGGATCATTATACAAGGTTATTGCACAGGGTGTTTACATGGGTATTAATATTAGTGTTGTGCCATTGCGTTTTTTTTAACCTGATACCTGGCTGTGTAGTATTGGGCGATATCGATACCATCTGTTTAAAATTGATGTGTGTGTGTGTATATTTGAAGAACTGCACACTACTTGGATGTAAAATAATTGCCATCATGGCTTCCTCAAGCTGCTGCCTACCTTTGTGAAGCAGGAAAAAGACTAATAAAAAGTGAATCCAGTAGAACTTTTTATTGCCTACCTGGAATGGGTGACAATAGTTGAATAAACGTATGGTTCTAAAAATGGTATCGGTGCTCTATTTGTTGGTACTCGCCGATTCCATCATTTTAGTGCACCCGATACTGGTATCGGTATTGTTGCAACACTAATTTATATATATGGATATTTATATATATAGTTATTGAACTGGGTGACAAACAGGAGATAGGGGAAAGGAGACTGGCACAAGGGACAATAGAGAGCAACACAAAAACACAACAACAATGACACAAAGGCCGTTTCTCAATTCACTAGAACTCGAGTACGGACCTGTGTCCTCGCCAAGTATGTTCTTGACAAGAACACAGGATAGTATAAACTTGGGGAGAACGAGAACGTGTTTTTTCAAGAAATATTTTGCAAACACACAAATTTTCAGACCTTACAAACTATTATACGACTCTTACAAACAACAATTATACAAAAGAACAATACACAGGGTCTTTAATATAAAAAAAATACAAAAATCTAAATACATTATTCTTGAAAAATCTCTCAAAAAAATTGAAGTAATCTACTCTTTGAATTTGTACAACAAATATCTGAAGTTGGGGGACGTTTTGGATTATTTAAATTTGTGTACATGAAATATGCCTACAAAATGAGTAAGTTTGTGATAAAAGTGACCTTAGTGTCTCCATGGGAAAAAATACAGTATTACACTCTTACAGTCAATTACAATGTATGTTTTGAGTTTACACATTAAATATTGTTCAAGAAGAGTCCAAAAAATTGGTAGAGTTGGTACAGTGATAGAACAAATGAGATAAGGTTTCCTGTTCCATGTTACAAAAACTGCATTAATTTTCAATATCTGAGAATTTAGAAACAATTGGTATGATTGGTCGTGGGAATTCGTAGGAATTTGTAGGATATGTAGTGTGTAGAATTTTGATGTGAACCTGCTTTTTCTTATTGGAGATACAGAACTTACACTCGCCGGCCACTTTATTAGGTACCCCATGCTAGTAACGGGTTGGACCCCCTTTTGCCTTCAGAACTGCCTC